AGTTGAGCTGGCTCTAGTCCTGTACCTCATGGCTTGGATCCTCATGGCTTAGGTGTGCAAATGGATGGTAGGGCTTAGACATGCAGATGGAAAGATGGATGGTAAGGAGTTACTTAAATTTACAACATCCGGAGACAGGGGAGACGAGGTGTCTGCTTGCACCTTAAATCCTCGTAGATGGTTTGCGAGTTCTTAAGGCTGCTTTCTCAGTAGACCTGGGTATGCTTGATACCATATTCATTCACTCACTCATGCATTAATCTAAAATCAATTTTTGATAATATTTTCAACATATTAAGGATCTTTGCCTTAGGACTTCACTCCATTGCTCCCATACATTTTTCTTACTAAATTTGGGAGGAAGTGGAGGGGAATGGGAGAAGCTTGATTTTTCTTTGCTGTGGTTAGCAGAGTGGCATGAGCAGTCCTTCAGTAGGTATAGAAAGTATTTGAATTTGTGGGCTTCCAGAGTATAGGGTTGTTATATCTGTAATATCTTTTTATTTATTTAACTTGTAACAGATTTATCTGCCAGTATTTGAATGGTAGATCCTCACTTTCTACTGCAGCTGTGGCTGTAACATACTTTTTTTTGAACAGTAAAAAAACCTACAATGACAAGGCCCATCTTCATGGACAAGATTAAGCCACTCTAATCATGTCAGGGCATTGCAAAGTTATAACTGAGAATCTCAACATGACATTTTTAGGATGTCAGTGGGACCTTCAAAAGGACTTCTTCCCAGCAGGATCAGAACTGTTGCAGCTACAGCCACAATTAAGCAAAATTGTTGGCAACTGACTGTTAGCATTTTCACCCTGCACAGGCTTTTTGTCTGAATGTGGATTTTGAATATAGTTCTTTTGACAATCAGGCTTATGGCAGATGTTAGAATGAAGGCATGATTAACTTCATAATCACCCCATAAATAGTAGCTCTGCCACACATCCAAAGAATTAATGGTAGGACAAAATGAGAAAGCAGCCACGAAAATATTCCATAAAAGATGCATAACACTTCTGTGGCTGGTTTCCATCATGCCTTAAAACACATAGCAGGGTAACTGAACCAGTTTAAGATTCTGGTGTGGTCCCGGTGCTGGAACTGACAGGGCTGCAGGGACCCAGCTTAGTGCATGGCAGGAGGTATGATTGGTGGGATCAGGGATCAGATCCTATTTCCCAGTGTGTGCCACGGGCCCCAGAGGTATAGGTAGGGTTACCATAGATTCATAGATTAAGGGTCAGAAGGGACCTAGTAGATCTTCTAGCCCGACCCCCCGCCGGGGCGGGAGAACAACAAACATCTGGGTTTTCCTGGATATGTCGTCTTTTTGGGTCCTCCCATCTCCATCCTGGCATTTTTTTTTAAATATTAGCAAATGTGCAGGATTTTGCTCTACCCCCATTTTCCTGGCACTTTCTGGTTTGACCCAGCAAGGAAATGCTTGGGGCTGGGAGCAGTAGGGGAAAGTGATTGGAGGCTGGGGCATCGCGTGCTTTGTGCACAGGCCCTGGGCAGCTGCAGATAGGGGTGTGTGTGCATGCCTGTTTGTGTGCCTGCCAGCACTGGGGTGCAGCAGAGCAGGGGAAGGGGGTAGGGAGGTTCTTTGGAGGCAACAGGGAGCTGCATAGGGGCAGGGGGCTGCGAGTCAGGAGTGAGGGGCACTGGCAGGATGTGGGGGGGCTGTGGGATGGGAATGAGGGGTGCCAGCATAGTGGGTCAAGAGTGAGAAGCGGTATTGGGGTTGGGGGGCTGTGGCTTGGAAGTGTGGGACAGGGCACAGGCATATCACTGCCCCCATCTCCAATCATAACCCTCTGCCTTCCCTGCCTTCACCCCCCACAGGTGTCCTGCTTTTTGAAACTGGAAATATGGTAACCCATATAGGTAAAAAGATCACTAGTTTCTTTTTTCTAGTTAAACAAAACAAAACAAATCTCTGGAGCATTGACTGCATTGGCTAGGTATTCCTCCATCTTCAGAGGAGGCCTCCAAAGGTGGTGGGTGTTACAGGGATATCCATCCTGAAAATTTGATTTGAAGCCCTTCAGTCATGTTAAATGTGTTCATAGGCTTTTGTGATATTCCCTCCCCTCCCCCCACAATCCAATAGCAACTGTTAGAATTGAGGTCTCCTTGAAATTATACCCTTAGTCTTATATCATACATGGAAATTGCCTTGCCTGGCTCATGACCAGGGATCCTGTTTTTCTGTTTAAAAATTGCAAATTCACTGATTAATTTTTTTAAATTTTTTATTAGAACCTCTAAAATCTGCATTTTTTCACAATTAAAATAAAATGCCACTTTACATATAAGTATCAGTTGAACACAATGTTTTATTGCTATATTTACAATTATAAAGAAATTTGGAAGCTTCCCAGTGCCTCAATTATTATAACAAAATACATTCTAGATACCTATATATTTTGGTGTTCAGTTTTGGGTTTTTTTAATCATAGAAAATCAGAGCTTCCCCTGCTCCCTTTGTTCACCTGGACACTGGTGCAGCTGCGGCTGTTCCCCTCACTCCTTTGTGATACTGAGCAGCCTTGATATGCCAGTGCCCTGCCTCTGACCCTGCTGGTTCCCCTCACTCCCAACCCAAAGCTCTCCACCCTGCTCAAACCTCTCAGACCTGCTGGTGCCCCTTACTTGTGACCTGCAGCCCACTGCCCACCCCCAGCCCTGCCAGAGGGGGCCCAGGACTAGGGCCAGGGTCCACAGCCCCCTGCCCTCCCCAGCAGTGCCCAAGTGAGGTGGTGGCAGCGGCTGCAACCAGAGTCGAGCGCAGAGCCTGTCTCCCCCTTGCAGGTGGCACAGCTGGAGCAGAGCCTGTGAGCAGGGGAGGATGCAGGTTGCCTGCTGTGGGCTCCGGACTCTCCACCCTGCTGTCCTTCCCTTGGGGGTCTCTGAGGCCCAGCAGGTGGGACCTGGCACAGGAGGGCAGAGTGGGCCGGGGAGGGAGCCCCGCATCAGCTATGCAGCCATAGCAAGGCATCCCTTGACTGCCTGGCACCAGCAGGGGTGGTGACACGGACAAGCCACCCCCGACTCCCTCCCGCTCCAGGCCCTACGGCCATGTGTTCTCACCCGGGCCCCACGCACTGTCCCGGTTGGGCAGCATCCCCAGTCCCACTTCCCCGCTCACCATGGGGGCTTCAATCTGTCCCCCACCCCATCTAGACTTACCTGTGGGGAGCTGCAGGAGCTGTTCTCCAAACTGCCTGGCATGGGCTAGCACATGCATATGTGCATGCACACACGTGCGTGGTGCAGCACCCCTCAGATGGTGCTAGCTCTTAGCCTTTTCTCTTTTTTGACTAACAAAAATAATAGAGCAATTATTTGCTCAAAGTAGAGCATTTTTATTTGCAAAAAAGGACCAATTATTTGCTCTTTTCTGAGTAACAAAAACTAATAGAGCAATTCTTCTATGACAGAATTCAGAAAGACTACAACAGATAAGAATATTTTTGACACTGTAAATTCCTCTTTGAAATGCCTGGGTTCATCTTGTGAACCATGTGTATGTATTTGCCTACCTACCTGTGCTAGTATTTGCCTACCTACCTGTGCTACACCCTGAAAGGTTTTCACTGCACCCCAGGGTGCTGTGGCACCCTAGTTGAGAACTGCTGGAAAATGTTTGCAGAAATTCCTTGAGACCAAAATTATTTTCCATGTGTTGTTGTTATGACATATATATACTAAATGTTTTATGTGGGTTAAAAATAAAGGAATCATTAAACTGTTTTATTACAGAAGCAGTCCATCCCATTCTGTATTCAGGATGTTGAAATTAGATGTATTATATGGCAAGCAAATTAGTTTTTGCTTCGCTGTATTTGGTCAACCATTTGTAACATACCATGTATGACTTCGGACAAGGGCAAACAGAAGGTTTAAGGCAAAGTATAGAAAATATACACAAGGCAAGGCTGCTGTTTGTTAAGGTTAAAAATGTTTGTCTTGACTGAGTTCATTTTCTTGACGTTTGTCCTTTGCCTTGGGCTGACGAGCTGTTCTATTGCTGTTTTGCTCTACTGTATTGATTTATATAGTGCATGCTGTGCAGCCAGTCACACAACAGAGCTGTAAAAAGACTGGCTTACGGAATACTAGCTGGGTGGTTTAGCAGTATCTGAAGGACTGATTTTAGGCTGAACCACTGGGAGCTGTCTCCTGGCTGAACAACTATGGAGGAATGGCTGAATAGGTCTGCCCCCCCACCGCCACCCAGAAATCTCTGATTGCTTGCCCATCCTCTCAAACAAAAGAAAGAGTATAGTGAAAGTGTTAATTGCTGTTTGTGTGATGGTAACACCTCTAGGAAAGGTAGGCAGAGGTCTGTGCCCTAAAGAACGGAAAATAAAATGCTCCATTTCTGCAGTAGCATCTTCTGCACCGAGTCCCATCAACTAGAATATATGAATATGGGGGTCTTGTGTATCCCATCTGGAAGGACCTGCAAGTAGGCCTGCTTAGATGGCAGTGCTAATGCTTTCTAGACCTGAGTTGTAGTCATGACTTTGTGTTTTGGGTCAGGCCTGGTACTGACTAAAGAAAGAAGGAATGAAAATAGGGAACATGATAAGCCTCAAAAGAATACAACATAATGAGAAAACAGAACCAAAGAGGAATATCTGAAAAAAATACAAAAGCCAACTGAGAGAGAATGAAATGAGAAGAGGGAAGAAAGACTGTAAAGGTTTTCATGATACAAAGGAAAGGAAGCCTAGTGGGAGCCTGGGCAGAGGGAGGGAACAGGTTTATTGTCTTCTAGCAGTTGTAATGGTTGGATGCAATTTATTTTACACCTGCTCCCCACCAGTTGTTTTCATCTAATTTTCTTTGGCCAGTTGTCAAAGAAGGTCTTTGTTTTGTTTCCATGTTGTGCATGGTTTCATGAACTTGGTATTCTCTGGGTATGAAATGTGGACTCTTCATTACTCTACCTTTGCTCTTTTTTTCATTTGCTCTTTCTTTCCTCCAGATTCTGCAGACATTCAGACAAGCTCCATGGCAGAGTTTGGGGAGAGGCTATTCAAGGCAGTTATTAGATGCTGCAAAGGTAGGGTTAAGCAGTCTTTCCTCCCACTCTGCTTGGGCGTGGGGGAGAGGCGGGGGAAACAAGCCCTTGAAGCATCTTCCAATTTATGTTGCATATTTTACATCCATTGCATAATTTCCCTTTTTATCATTTCTGGGTGTTGTGAGATAAATGGGAAGTTATTTTTCTGCCTCTGGAAATGGAGAGAACCTCTGCTGAAATCCTGATATTCTTTCCCCCTTTGAGAAATCTTTCTGAATGTCTAAAAGTCAGTGGCAACATGCAGAGATTTTCGGAAAAGCTTTTAGAAATGTAATTGTAGCTCGTTGACACTCCGATTCATCTTGATATTTTATATCTGACAATGTATGGAGTGCTGTGCGTTGTGCATAAACCTTTATTACTCCAAACATATGCTCAGTTTGTGGAACATCAAGAAACTTTGCATATTTACTGCTCACTCTCATGGGTGCCAGTCTGCCACATGAGGCTTTTTTTATTCTTATTGTAAACATAAGAGGATTTTTATGAAGCTTCCTATACTAATAATGATGCAGAAATGCATAGCATTTTAAGATGGAAAGGAAGGAAGGATGTGCATTTATTGCACACATACACCCACACTAACTTACTCACTTTTGCTCTTGTGCTGTCTCAAAATGCTGTTAAGTGGTTTAACAAACTTTTTTTTTTTTTTCTGTGAGACTTAGGCCCACTTAAGTGCTTCGGTAACTTTAGTATTAAAGTACATGAAAGAAATGAGATTTTGAGTTAAGGACTCCTGAATTCTAAAACTAAATCATGCTACATTTCAAAATAGTTGTATATGAGATCCCCTAATACAGCCTGATCATGGTTCTCATTTTTAGATGGTCTAACACTTTTATTATTACTGATTTTTTGCTACCTTTTTTGAAAACTCTTATTGCTTCCATTGTTTGCATCAGACCTGAAATGTGGAGTAAGTCCTGAACTAGTCAAGTCGGATAAATAATAAAAGAATTATAAATGCTTTTCCCTTCTTTTATTTGCATTTATAAGGAAGATTTTTAGTAGAAAGCCCCAAAAAGTCCAGCTGTTGTGCCACCATAGCAGCAACATATACTGTCCTGGAAATACCTGAGAAGAGCAACAGGCCAGGCCTGTTTGACCTTCTCTCCTTGCACCTGGCACATGGCCCAGGTATTCTGCAAGTGCCTCCTGGAGCAGGATTTCCCCAACCTTTGGTGTGGAGCTGGGGGCAACGCTCTGCCTCCTGGAGTAATGGATTGCTTATGCTGCTTGTAATCTAATTATTCCTGTAGTTTGAGATCCAGAAATTTGTGCTGCCATGCTTAAATGTCACGATTGAACCTGTGCTTTTGATGAAGAGATTATGGTTACAGCTTCTGACAATATTATTGAACCATTTTCCACAGGATCCCTGGCTCATTTTTGCAGAGGTTGGACACAGAATTAAGTTTGCATAGGCAACTTTCCCTGTCACTTCCTCTGTCCCACCTCTGCTGTTGACTTCCTTTCCTGACACTTACAGGAGAAGTCACTGCTTAACTCAGTTTCTCCATCTGCAGTGTGGGGATAATAATTTAATAAAAAAACTTACCTATCTCAAAAGGATGTTATAGATTAATGTTTTGACTTGAAAGCATTTATAGAGCTCTGAAAAAGTGCCATTATTATACTTGCTAAATTGCTCACAGCATTCCAGTGCAACACAGTGATGTTAAACACTTCACTGAAAGTGCTGTTGCATTTTGAAAAGGGAGTTTGGAAGAATGGCATTTTCTTCTCACCCAGCAAGGGAGAATAACTATAGCTGAAAAATAATAATAAAAAATGCTTCTAGATGATTTAGGAGCTTGGCAGCTTACATGTTAAATTTAACATGCAATTAAACTGTGACCACTGAGAACTGTAACCTGTTTGTAATTTTCTTGATATTAGGCTTCTATAAAAATATCTTTAAATGACATGGTGGACATTGTTCAGCTTGTACATAAAGGTGAATTCTAATAGCCTCTTTTGCTGTGATCTGAAAGACCAGCTGGATTATTTTTTTTCTCTTGCATATAAAAGCTTTGTGAGCTAGCGTAACCTCTTAGTTATACCTGTCAGTGTCCATTTTTTTTTTGTCATGTTCTCTGGTTATACCTGTTCCTGCTGTTACCTGTAAACCTTGTAAAGGTATAGCAAATTGAGCATAATTGTTGTTTTTCACCAGAAGAAATAGAACACATCTCACTTGCTGTTAAACCTTGTCTGAAGACAAAAGTTGTAGTAATTTAATTTATGTCATTTTAAAGAATCTGTTTAGTTAAACTGGTGCACACCCTGTGAGCACCCGTGTAATGTGGCTTAAATCTGGCTTTTATTGATTAAGTTTATTTCAGTAAGCAGCTGTCTTGAGTAAAATCAATGCAAGTCAGATGTAAGCTAAAGTGAGTACATCGTCCAGGTGCTCACATGTGCCTAATTAAATCTGTATGCATAGAAAATAGATCTAATTAATAAGGTGATACTTCTTACATTTTTTTTTCAGAGTTGAACTGTATTGAAAGAATTTAGAGTTCTTTCCTATAACCCTTCACCTATCTTTTGCTGTATGATACCATTAACATTTATGCTACAAGATATGATGCCTTCTCATACTGACTTTAAGAGCAAGATGCTATTCTTGGAATGTAATCTCCATTCCTTTTATGATAACACTTTGCTGCTGTCCTTTTGCCGCGATTGTTGCATTGGAGTTAGAGATTAACTTTTGCACACCTTTTTTAAGATATGATTCTTGAAGTCACTGTATAATTTTTCTCTTTTTCACACAGCATCTCCCAAAATGGCCACATACAGAAAAGAGAACATGTTGGCATGGTCATGCAGGTGGAGGACTCCACACAAATCCAAAGGAAGGGGTAAAAGCTTGATCAGATAGTATTATTCGGAGTATCTGAATAAATAAAAACACGTTCAACTTTTAAAGACTTAAGCAACTGAAAAAACAGCAAATTGTCTTCACAGCTTAGACTTCAGTCTAGTCTAATTAATAATGTTAATTGTGAATTTTGGCTTACTAGCTCTTAAATTACTAGGACTGCTCAATACATTTTTTTACCAGTTAAGTTTTTTATTTAAAAAAAAAAAAGTAAGGTCACATGTTGACTTGAGATCTACCTCTGGTATTTTAGAGTATTTCATGATAAATATGTTTCATTATAAATTAATATGTTTTTATTTCTGTCGGTCAGTGGCATTTCTAAGACTCAGCATTTGAGGTGACAGAAATTTGCTTGTGGATATGAGTTAGTGGAACAGTCACTCCACCTACATTCAGTACAGGAATAAAAATAAACTTGTTGGTTTATAAATTGACTATAACTTTGATTTAATTTCTTAAGATGTTAATGCATACAGTTGTGTGCTAGCAGTTATGAACAAAAAAAATCCTTCATGTTGAAAGAATATTATTAAAGTTGCAAAGTCAAGCTCTCATAAGGTAGGACTGCATAGAATGAAGTTGTATATACGGATCTAATTCTCTTGTGCATTTTGCATGTTGATATGTAATCTTCAGCTATGTGATCATCACATGCCAGGTTTTTATGAGCTGGGGGGGGGGTTGGTTCCTGTAGGAAAAAAAAATGTAATCACATCACTAATAGGTGCATCGTGAAGCACACATAGGATAAATTAAGGTTCGTAAACAATCTTTAATTCTGGAATTTCCTAACATCTGAGTCCTTGACTTTTGCCACCCTTCATGCTTTTTCTTATGTGGGGGGGGTTCCCCCCAAGTTTATTAGCAAAAACCTAGGAAATCTGAACATGTGTGTCATGTTGACAGCTATGTGGTTCATTAGCAAGGATGGAAACTTCAAGCCCACCTTACAGACCTCTTCCCCCTTAGGCAGAATAGCTGATGAAGGTGATAGGCCGTTCTCTCCATAGACCACCGCTAGAAGATGAAGCATGCTTTGTCAGGAAATGCAAGAATCTTGGTCTTGTTCCAAACACAGGATGGGAGTGCTGCTGAGGATACAGACCGTTTTGCCTGTTTCTTCCCTAGCACGCTTTCAGCTTGATCCCTTCTGTCTTGTCCCCTCCAACCTGCCTTTTTTTCCTCTTTCTTTTTACGTGTTCCATTCCTAGTCCCATTCTTCTAGAGTTCCTTGTCCCAGTCTTCTTGCTCAGTAAGACAATGTTTTCACATCCTATTGTCCCAGCTAATCCCATTTTTCTCTTCCCCCACACCTCCCCATCTGTCTGCCAGCCCCCTTGGCATGATCTACTCCTTTTTCTTCAAACTGGGTCATCTTTTGTCCCTTTGTATTTGGATTGCATTGCTTCCTCATCCAAGTTTCCTGGATATCAACAAGGTGTAATGCTGAGCAGCTAAGAACAAGTACAGGAAGTGTGGCTTAACCTCTTTAGTCCTGAATGGGAGAGAGCTTGCTCTTGCTCCTTAGGGATTTGTGCATGTACAGACCAGTGGCATGTAGAGGCTGTGAGGGGATGAAGCATGAGAATGGCTTTACATGCTCTGTGAGGATGAAATCTAAAGTTTCCATGTCCTTGCCACTCCAGTAAATATGCTCTAGTTGCTTCCAGTGCTACAACTTTTTTATTTTCTTGACTGTATTAGTCAACTGTTTGTTAAGGCCTGAAATTTGTTTTTCCAGAATTCCATGGAAAAAAGCTGCAGCCCTGGTATGTTTCACGTGGAAATTCATTTCACATACTCACCTTTATAACTGACATTTTAAATCCACCACCGGTGGAGGCTGATAGGCTGTTTCTTGAAATGCAAACCTTTTTCAGCTGAGATGCATGGACATGTAAATGTCATTTGTCCTGAAAGCTTAGTAACACTTAGTCCTGACACTTCTTGTAAATAATCACAGAGAAGGAAATCTACAAATACCGACAGGTTTGAAGTAGCCTAGAAATTATATTCCAGGCTGACTGGTTCAGTCTAGAAAAGAGGTTGCAAATTCCATTTACTAGGATGCTAGAAATATTAGGTGTGGATTCTGCCTTCAGATTGGTTAGGAATGTGCTAACCAGAGTTTTGGCAAGCACTTTTTTTTAAGTTGACCTAGAATGGCATTTAAATACTTAAATATTTAAATAGGAACTTCCTTTTGTTAATGAGTAACTTGTCTTACAAAGGAAAAAACACAATTCCATGAACACTTATATTTCAGTAAATACAGATTAATGCAACCACACCAAGAATAGTTAGCTTGGCGTCTCAAAGAAATGCTCATTATTAGGTTGTTGGGGAAAATAACAAAAATTAGCAACAGGCTACACAGAGTGGGTTGAAAGTGAAGGCCAAGAATAAGAGTCAATGAATCAATCACGACAGTTGGGCAAAGGAATAGATAGGCCACCTCCGTGCTTCCTGAAGGCAGCTGGGTCTAGTTTGTCCGTTGCAACCAACTGGGCTAAAATTAGGGCTTTTGGATATTCTGATTTCTGTGCATTGGTAAACTAGCTTAGGATGCACAAACTTCCCTGACTGTCTGGGAAATGCGGCTTGCTGTCACCTGAGGATTTTTCTAGGCTACGGAAAAGTGCAGCTGACCACATATGTAGCAAAAATAGTTACTTTTCTCTATGTTTCTTTGT